GGCGGTGAAAAATGAATGTGGTCCCCTTCCCAGGTGTTGCCAACAGACTGTCCCGCGTGGCGCTCCTACCTCGGGGGCGATGTAGTCCGGGGTGCCGCAGAAGGTGTGCGTGGTGTCCCCGTCAAACATGCCCTCCCTGCACATCCCGAAGTCAGCAATCTTAATGTGGCCCTCGCTGTCCAGCAGCACGTTGTCCAGCTTGAGATCCCTGAGGAAAGGCGGGACCAAACGCCGCACAACTCATTTGGGATCCGAGCGTTCAAAAAAGAGCCTTTTGCCAAGAAAGACAAAAGCCACGCGGCTTTGCTCGCCGCACTGCGGAGGAACGACCCCCCCCAACTTGACATAAATCAGCCTTTACCTGTAGATGATCCCTTTGCTGTGGAGGAAGAAGAGGCCCACCGCAATCTCCGCTGCGTAAAACCTGCGTGACAGAGCGTGTTTCGGGAAACACGCGGAAATCAAAAGGCGAAGGATGACACACCAAGAGGCGGCAGGGTGATGAAAGGCGGCGCAAGCGTCGAGATGAAAGGCAAATAAAAAAATAAAATAAAATGGAGCAACAGGCTCGGAATGAGTTTTGGATGATTGTTCAAAGATAATCGGATGAGAAGGCGAGATTAGCGAGAGGAGGGAGCCGCTCCTCCAGCCCGGGACTTTTTTTCTAGAGTTGCCGGGAATCATGAACAAAGCGGACAGATAAGTGCGAAAGACGAGCGAAAGCGCCGTGAAGATAAGCGCGCGTACGTACGCCGCATGAGGCTCTTTGAACTTCCCGATGATCTGAATGTGAAACATCAGGTCCCCCCCGTTGACGTATTCCATCACGTAGTACAGCCGATCCTGTGGAAAAACAGCGTGCGCACACATGGAGAGAGGCAAACATTGATCGATTATCAAATGAATCCATCGGGTGGGCGAGAAGAGCCACGTTCGCCTTTCATGCAGTTTTCAGAACAGGACAAACGGTCCAAAACACAAAATACAAAGTAAAAAGGCTGACAAGCAGCTGCTGTAGGCCACAGCACACGCCGCGACGCTCACGCGCGGACTCATCGACCTCAGCCTGTGACATCACTCACTCGGCCACACCTCTCAACTCACTGACTGGCCGTTTTTTTTTTTTTGGGGGGGGGGGTGGGGGGGATATCCTAAACTCACCCCATCTGCCCCTTTGGAAATTCCGGTGAAATAACTCGAAATAAAATCTCACACACACACACACACACACACACACACACACACACACACCTCAGTCTGGAAGGCGCAGTAGAGCGATGTGAGAAAGTGGGGGCGCATCTGGAGCGCCAGCACCCTCCTTTCCACCAGGGCGCTCTCCGTGTCCTCGTCCTGGAAGAGGACGTCCTTCTTCAGCACCTTGACGGCAAAAAGACGCTCGCTGCCTCGCTCCTCTGCCAGCAGCACCTGAGCGGAGGGGATCGCAAAGCGGACATTTCATTCGACGCGACCGCACCGCCACGGTGGATTTCATCGGATTCGGTCGCCGATTTCGCTTCATGTCGGCAATTCCAAAAAGTAACTGTCAATCCAACAGAGTTTTATTTGGATGCTCAAAATGATGGCGTTCATGGGCACAATGTTGTGACCGTCGTAAAACCGACACAAAACAGCCCTTGGCTCAAAGGGTTAGAAAAAGCGCAATGAACTCCGAGCTGACTCACGATGCAATTTCCCCCTCCGGAGGGCTTCGGCGTCCTCGCACGTGCCAACTGTCGCGTGGTCAGTGTGTCAGAAGCGCGACGCGTCATCCTGCCGTGTGCATGGCGGCCATCCCCAAAATCAAGCACGTGCTGCCGCTATTAGGACGCATAATCTGTGCTTGCCGTGCGCACTCATGTTGACATGTTTTCTTTTCTTTCTTTTTTTTTTTTTTTAACAACTCATCCTTCCTGAGTCACAAAAAAAAAAAAAAAAAAAAATCCAAACCCCTGAAATTCTCTCGGTCTGATTGAAAAGTAGTGCCTTGGCTCCAACTGGTGTCATTTTTGCACACAGGAACTATGTTGAAGTGAGGGTTGTACGAGCCAAAGTTTGGATGATGAGAAAAGGAGTGCTTTGGTGCCATTGCACGACATATATTGGTTCAATGCTCTTTTTTTATTTACGCTACGCTATTTGTGGTGTTGACTCCTAACTACAAAGTCTCTTCAGAATTTTATTGCGGAATTTAAAGTTTTTTAAACATTTTTTTAATTGTCTTTCATACACTGTCGTATTGTAAAAATTCAAGTGATGTTTATTGTCATTAGTCATCCATCCATCCATCCATTCATCGTTTCCTGGATGATAAACTACATTTATTCTCCACAGAAGGGTATTTTATTTATGAACATTTTTAGCTGTCAGATTAACTGGATGAAAATGATTTACTATGTCGGATTTTTTGGGGGGGCGGTTTCCTCATCAAAAACTCCTCAACTCATGTCGCCATAGTTCCTTGGCAACAAAATGTGACAAGAGGACAAAGCATCACTTTTGTCCAAACGAAGCTTTTCTCCTCATTTGGCCGCAAAGCGCTATGTTGGGCCAAATGAAGCTCCTCAACTCACTTCAACATAGTTCATTGGCACCAAGATGCCTCAAGATGGCAGCAAAACACGACTTGTATTGCTTTGGCCTGAGCATAAAAAATTCTGGAAAAAACTTTAGCGAATGTGGAAGTCTGCGAATGGCTCTATGAAGAGTCATTTGAAGATTTAAAAAGCGGGTCTGAGTAGTACCAGAGTAGCTCGCCTGCTATGGAAGAGTACCCCCCGCCCCCCATTTCAAAATGCACACACAAGCATTAGAATGTTCGAAAATCCCACACATAGAGCTCCTCTTCTCTTGCCTGCTTGTTATTCCATTTCCTCTTGGCCATTTTGTCACTTGCCGCCTCACAGTAATCGTCTCCTTTCCGATCTGTGTGCGCCTCCCCTCGCTCGGCGGCCTCAAGTCTCGCTTCTTCCCTCCCAGCCCACCCCTTTCAACATCCATCTTACGTAAGTTGAGCTCTCTTTCTCCCGTCCCCTGTTAAGATTCTCATCTGACAGTTACGAAACAGCACAAGGGAGCTGGAGATGAGGCAGAAGGACTCGAAACGCCACTCTCTTCATCACGGCTCATCTGCGGCAGGGGAGGGGGGCCAGCGGGCTCCGACGAGAAAACGGAGAGTGCAGGCTTCCCCCGGGAAGGAGCACCTTCAGGAGGAGAGCCTGTTTGCCAGCCGGCCCGAGCTCACGACTGCCGACGCCACAAAAGACGCACACTTGAATAAATCATCGGCCACCGTTGCAGGGGGAGGGACAATGCGCTGAGGAGCTCCCGTCGGAAACGGCGCACGAAGGTCAATCCATCAGTGGAAGACGTCGTTTACCTTGCCAAAGCTGCCTTTGCCGAGCACCATGAGGAAGTGGAAGTCGTGGATGCCCACCTTGCCCTTGCCCGGCCCGTGGGAGTGGGCGGGCGGACAGGAGGGCGTGGGGGTCAGGGGCAGGGCCACAGGGAGGGCCTCAGATGGGCAGGCGGGGCCGACTTGAGCCGGCGAGGGCGTGACACCGTCTGGCTGGGGCTCCTGCGGAGGGATGCCTGTTCAGATGGCGTTCAAACACGCAACAAACTTCGACTCACCGCTCAGCGGTACGGCACTGATAACGGTTCTTTGCAGAGGATTGGGAATATATGACTGTACGCTCATGTCGTCCGTCTACATGTGTTGCCGCACCGTGTTCAGTATGTCGCTTACAGGGTTCTCGCGCCGCAACAAAGATGCTCATTAGCATTTTCATGATGCTACGTGCTCTTTTTAAATGCACAAGGTGCATTTCTCTCTCGTTTTTGTGTTTATTTGCACAGTAAACTTCAACCGGGAGTGTTCACAGTAAACACCTTGAAGCCTCTTGTCTGGGAAAAATTGCTGACTAAGCACCGCTTCTTGTACAGTGAGTTGATGAGTGTTTTCAGTGAGGAGAACGGAAACAAATTAAAGCGATAGCTCAAGGTACCACTACATATTCAAACATGGTCAATTTCATATTTTGGGACCCAAATCAATCCTAACGGCCAGTCGTTTTTACACGGCCAATGATGAACTAACTCTCTTCTTCCATTCATAACTTTGCTGCTGTGAATTGGGAATTTCTCCACTGCGAGACTAATAAAGGTTTTCTTATCTTATCTTATCTTATCTTATCTGGGACTGTTGACGTGTTCGTGAAGTCAATCTCTTCCTCACTCTGCGGAGGCCTCACAGCATTTTGTCACCACAAGATTGAAAGTCTGAAATTCCAGTCCATGAATCCCCTTTGACAGCGTCATCCATCAGAATGGAGAATTATTATTTTTGTAAAAGCAGAATGGGGGAAGGATGCATCGCTTGTCTTGGATCTCATTCGATTGTGCAGGTGTCCCTAACATGCGCTGCGGTACTTCTTGGCACTTGTGTTTTTATTTGCTCAGAGAAACTCAAAGTTGCAGGACAAGATTCCGACGGCGTGAGTCATCGCAGCTTGGTTTTATTGGAAGTCAATATTTGGAATGAGATAAAGGCCGAGCCAAGCCCGAGGAGAAGTGACAGCACATTAAAACGCTAAGTGGCAACTTCGCTGTCTGGTCAAAGACTCGAAATGCACCAGTCCTCTTTTTGGGTAACAGGCGCTCAATGTTTTCTCCTCTGATCGGTTTCCAGTTCTTTACCTGCAGGTCCGGGTCTGGCACGGGGATGTTGTAATATTCTCCCTCGTCTTGGGCCAGCAGCTTGAACCAGCCGCTGATGGGACGCCGGAAGATTTCGCTCACTCCGAAGGACAGCGCGCCCATGAAATCGTTGCGGGACGTGCGGTCCCAGTCCCACACCTCCACCGACAGACGCCGGTCCCACTGGTGGCCGCGCACGGAACTGCACACACATGTGCCAAACCCTTGAAAAACTCATCGAGTTTCCTGTAGTGTGACCTTTGTAACAGACAGGATTGATTTCCTGACAACAGGATTTTTTTTTCCTGGATATAAATTGCATTGAAAAAAAATTAAACGTTTTTTTTTTCCTCATTACTTTGTCCTGCTAAAACTGCTGTAAAAATTGAAAAAAAGAATGAAATAAAATTATTTCATCATTTTTTTTAGATTCAATTATAGCAAACTTGAAACAATTAATTTTACTAACTAAAATATTAATTAAAATATTCTAATAAAATGATATGCAATTGTGTGTTTGTGTTACTTTGTCCTGCTAAAACTGCAGTAAAAATGGAAAAAAGGCACGAAATAAAAATGTCATCATTTTTTTGATGAAATTACAGATAATCTCATTCAATTAATTTTACTAATTTAAAAAAGATATTTGCTCCTGATTAAAAAAAAACACAAAATTGTCTTGATAAATGAATAGATAACTAAAGTAAATTTTAAAAGTAAAAAAAAAAAAATAACATCATGAAATGTTGGTATGCAATTGTACATTGAAAACAATAAGTAAGTGAAAAAAAACAGTAATCAAATGATATCACACAAATTAGCAATGGGCCAATTAGTAAAGATTCAATAATTTGGGAATGGCAATTTCTCAGAAGAAATCTTCAACAAAATGATCTTCTGACAAAAGACCGTTTGAATCAGATGATAATGATAATAATCATCATCATCATCATCATCATCGTCTGAAGTTTGACGTGCCTCCCTCAGAACTCTGTCTGTCCACATTCACGCTGGCTTGGACTCACAAGGTAAAACTCTCGTTCCAGACTGGATTGAGCGTGGAGCGGATGGTCTTGGTCTTCTGTTTGCTGTGGCTCTTCGGGTCGGGAATCAGTTTCAGTTTCACGTACGGGTCTGACAGGCCGTTTGGATCCATGGGCATCAGGTTACGAGCCTCCCGCACTGCAGAGCCAATCAGAACACGTACAGCCGAGATCCAAAGAAAACACTGCCCCCACCTGAGTCGTTTCGTGCTCTCGTCGACCAGGTCTCACCTGTGACGAAGACGTCTTCCTTCTCGCCTCGCACCGTCAGGTGGATCCGGCCTCGCTTCTCGGTGTGGTCCTGGCCGCAAAGACTGGGGACGCTGGTCTCACATCGTCGGTGGACGTTCATGTCGCAACCTGGAAAGATTGTCAATGCACGAGTTCATACAGGACTAATAAGGTGGTCAAGTCGAAGAAAGGTGAGTTCAAGTGCATGAATCGTGCTTTTCCCAGTAACTTCACGCATTGGGCTCCATTTTCGCGCACACGCGCTCGGTGTAGAAACTGGCACCGCTTTGTTTTCATGCCGCCGCAAGTCGAGTTGAGCATATTTGGGACTCTGGAAGACCGCGCTACGTCATGCTGGGCATTCCGGCAGACCGATCGCGTTTTCTATGACGCGCCCCCGGTGCACCTGACATGTAGGTAACAGAAAGCGGACGAGACCTTTGACCCACCAAAAGCAGGTCTAAGTTGTGGCGCAGCTGGTGGAATGTAATTTTGGTGGATCTGATTAAACCGCAGGCAGACACATTCTGCATGTCATTGCATTTCATTCCGAAATACAACTGTGTTCATTGCACCCTCTGAAGCATTGTATAAATCAATGAATTGAATGATGATCATCTTAAAAAAATTTTTAAAAGCACACTCAAGACGTTGGGACAACTATGGGTGTCGCATGATCAGGAGCGTGGAAGTTGGTGTCCCAATGCCCACTTCACAGTGGCCAACTTGAAATCATCTGCAAGCAGAGATCTTCTCGCAGTTCCCTCCAAACGTACTCCGCATGCGCTGATCTCCTGCAGGACTCCTCCAAGTCTGTCATGGTTCTGTCATGCAGACCACAGACCTCCCCGACTCTGAACTTAAAGGGAATGAGAGGAGCCACTTCGGTTCGCCGGGAATGAAGTCGGCTATTTTCACTCCCACAACGATGCAAACGCCCATTTTTGCCAGCGTGCGCCGAGTAAAATTCCAAAAGAAAGAAAATTTCGCCCACGCGCACAATTCGACCGCGCTTTGCACGAGACACAAAAATAGAGCCCCATAATTGCATCGGTGCTGCATACACATACGCATATCAGCAATGTTTTCTGCCAAATGCGCAATCAGCATCAGACCAGATATAGTGGAAAAAAAAAATCTCTATGGGTCAGGCCCTTAAAAATAGGATGAACATGACGGCCTATGACTGTGCACATCCTGAAGTTGGGAAGAGGAAGTTGTACCTACAGGCACATTTCATGCCTTGATGAATGAGGCCGTAGAGCAGCGAGCCACAGTGGTCGCAGAAGGTGGGGCTGGCGTAGGTGTGGATCTTGAAGGCGTGGCGACTCCTCAGGTCCTGAAAGGCAGCAAAAACCTGCTTGCCGCCACACGCGCCGTGACAGCGAGGACAAGCGTTGACATGCAGGACGGGGGGACGTTTGGATCGCAATGCTCATGAATCAGAAACGGGCCGACGTGGCGACCGGATCGAGCAAAATGTGTGTGTGTGTGTGTGCGTGTGTGTGTGTGTGTGTGTGTGTGGTGCAAAGCGGGATGATTCATTTTTATCTGTCATCATCAGCGCGCTCATTCTTTTCACCTTCCTCTGCTCTAGTGTATACTTGAAAATCCTCCATTTTGCTGTGTGTGCACTTTTCATTCAGTTATCATTTAACACACACACACACACACACACACACACACACACACGGCACTCCTAATGAGACGCTTACTCAGAGTCACAACACACGAAGTAACCATTTATTTGTATTTGTTCTTCTAAAGGTTTTGGCCTGTATCCACACCTGTGTAGGTGTGTTTCCATGGGTGAAGCAGTCCAAGATTAAAGGGATTACTTGGCATTTGGGGTAGCCCCAGACACAGACTACGGAGGGCCATCAAGATAGAACATATATATATAAAAAACATCCATCCATCCATTTTCTGATCGGCTTTATCCTCACAAGGGTCATGGGGCGTGCTGGAGCCTATCTTCAGGCAGTTGGGGGACACCCTGAACTGGTTGCTAGCCAATCACACCGAGGGACAATTTAGAGTGTTCAATCAGCCTGCCATGCATGTTTTTGGAATGTGGGATGAAACCGGAGTGCCCGGAGAAAATCCACGCAGGCAAGAGGAGAACATGTAAACTCCACAAAGGGAGGCCGGAGCTGGAATCGAAGCTCTGCACTGTGAGGTTGACATACTAACCACTGGACCACCGGGCCACCTATATAAAACATAATTTATAGATACAGATACAGATATAGGTTGATAGATAGACAGGCAGACACACATTCATCCATCCATCCATGCATTTCCAAGCCGCTTATCCTCACGAGGGTCACGGGCATGCTGGAGCCTTTCCAAACTGTCTTCAGGCAGAAAGCGGGGTACTCACAATCACATCTAAGGACAATTTAGAATGACCAATTAGCCTACCATGCATGTTTTGGGAATGTGGGAGGAAACAGGAGTACCCGGTGAAAACCTATGCAAACTCCACACAGGGAGGCCGGGGCCTGCAATCGAAGCCTGGGACACACACACACACACACACACACACACACACACACACACACACACACACACACTGCTCGCCTTGACCCCATTCCTGATGCCATTTGGCCGGCCCAAAAAAAAACCCCAAAAAACAAAATCCGCAAAGCATGAAGACAAATTGTTCCCGAAAGCTGAAAAAGATGACGAAGGAATGTGCTTTTCTCCTGCCTCGAAAGTCTTATCAGCTCCCCCAACACCCTCCTCCTCCTCCTTTTCCTCCTCCCCTCCGAAAGCCCACCTCCTGGCGGTCGCCAGACGTGACAAGGATGCGTCTGGATTAATGAGTCAGCGAGCGAGCGAGTCATGCAAGCGTGCGAATAGGATAACTGGTGCGTGATGAGCGGAAGGCATCTCACATCTGGTCGGGGCGCCGTCACCGAGCCGGGACAGGTGAAGGTCACAAACTCGTGACATCTTTTGTGCACCACAAAACTGCAAACTAAAGAAAGGAGAGAGAGAGAGAGAGTTTGAGAGGGCAAGGGAGAGACACTCAACTCAGCAATTCATCTGAGAAGATGAATAGCTCAATATTGATCCCGTGTGTGTACCTTGACATTGGAATCCCTGTTTGCCGATGCCCCTGTGAGCGAGGGAGGGAGAAAGGCGCACAGATTAGGCCGAGGAACCAATTAGGACACCAAACGCAATCTTCCCGAGCAGCAGCGTGATAAAACAAAACGATTCTTTTTTGGGTCTTTCCTCTGCAACGTCGCACGCAGGAGACAAAACAAGAGTACGGCCGGATCGCCGCCTTGACTTCGTCCTGGTGTCTGCTTGGCGCGTTAATTGAATAGTTCAAGCCACAGCATCGGGCCTGCAGTGAATCGGGCATTTTTGGGAAAGGGAGACAAATAAGACACGCTTACACCGAAAGAGTGGCAGAGGTGTGTCGGTGAGCAGAATCAGTCCGGGCGGTCTCTGCAGCAAGGAGGCTGTGCGGCACGTGAGCGACATTCTGCTTTTGACCAGCAGAGAGCATGAGAGAGCCGGCTATCGCCCAGCAATTCATGTTCGTTGGATGGCAATGGAAATGTGTTCCTTCACTGAGCCATCTGGATTAGAAACATTTCTCCAACTACTACTAAAAAAAAAACAAAACGTTGTAAAATAACTCCTAGTGGTACTACAAAAATGCCATCTAGCAGCACGCTCATGACTCAGTCAATTTGCACACCTCAATTAAAACCATTTCACGGCACATCTGTGAGAATTTGCCTTGTAAACGTCAATGTTTTGAATGACAGTTAAAGCAATGTTGATGCATTACGACAGTGAAAAAAAAAAGTACGTAGCGTTGTAGCACGAGGTTACTCTTTTGTTCTCACCTATTTTTAGTACGAAAGGGTAAAATGGACTTTTTCATGGTTTTGTGTGCACGCCCACCCATCAAGGCGTGAAACGACACAACCGACCAAGTACAGTCAACCTTTAGTGAGCCGCCTATTTTTGAATAAACTGTCTTTGAAATGAGCCTGGCATGCAAATCCCCCCCCCCCGACCCCCGTGACTTGACCTCATGTCTGGGTGAAGATCCGCCATTTTCAAACAACCGGCACTATCACGAGTAAGCAAAGCTGCAATGTTAGCACAGTTAAAAGCGTCATCAGCATTTGATAAAACCGACACTTCCTCAAATGTTTGGCGAAGGGGGAAATTTGTGTTTGGCAATGTGTCCGCTACATGCGCCACATGCACTGATCCACACGATAATTGACAAGTGCCATTTGGCGGCTTGGCGATTAAAAAAAGAAAATAAAATACGGATGATGTTTTTATGGTGTCTTAATGGTGGCATGCTTTTCTCCTCCACCATATGGCTGCCTGAGAACAACGCAAAACAGCTGAAGGCAAAATACATCATCCATCCATCCATCCGTCCGTTTTCCACACCACAAAATAATCCAAGACAACAAGCAGCCGCTTGCCAGTCACCATGGTAACGGAAGCCATTTTCTGCATTGGCTCTGTGGTTCCAAGTTTCAACCTGAGTTTGACTAGTTGAGGTTAAGTGTCTCTAAGTGTCTCTATTATTTTTTTCCAATTTTTTGTAATCCTCGAGACGTCGGTCTCTGCGAGGACCGGTCTTTGAATTCTATAGAAGCTCATCTACTGTGTGTGGAAACCCGCCGAATCCCCGAGACGTTGCTGCAAAGAGCGAGTTTGCCATTTTGTGGTGCTGTTGGAATGTGTCGTGAAGTCGAGCGCCTGCGTTTGTTCATTTTATGAAATTCACTCGGTTGAAAACAATATGACGGCATTCTAACGTGCTGATTTGTTCAACATGCATCATGAAAACGCCGCCCGCTGAGATTCATGCAATGTTTACTTGGAGTTATCCGACAGCGACGACGTCATTAAAGTAGCCTTTGAAAACTATTTTAATTTGTCGGACGAGTGGAATGTAGAGCCCGCTATGTCCAAATCCTGAGTCTGTAGGGCGATGAGGCAGTCGGGAAGGAGAGAATGATTCCCAGTGCAGCCATCGTGAGGCACGCAGGCTCCATTTGGTGGACAAAAGGTAACCACTTCAAGTTCCCAATTTTGCTGGGAAGGACTCCCAAGCAACCTCGCTGTGCTTCCACCTTGCATTTTGCTTTTTGTAATTAACCGAAAACTCGACGCAGGGGCCCAAACGACGTCCTCCGCAGTGTGAAGAAAGCAGTGCGATGGTGCGGCCAAGATGGCAGCCAACTGGGGGAATGTCCTGAAAACTACCCAGAGGCTGCTGGCACGTGCGCCGGCCGGCCGGCTGGCCGTCCGTCCTCCGACTTCGAGCCTCGCCATATGTCACCAAGCACCCACTAAGCCAACATTCTCTTCTGCGTCGCCACAAATGTTGCTGCGTCCCCGTGCCTTTGCTCACATTCTACATGAGGCTGTTGCACAATGTTGGCAGGAGCATCAGTGAGCGCAGGAGTTCCTCCTTTCTCATCAGCTTGAACTGCTCAACCTGCATACTGCAACTTTTCGCTATTTGCTCACCGGGGATTCACCTTTTTGTCTTTTCTTGATCCTTTATGAAGTATGAGTCATATTGCTGCGCTCAAGGAGTCACTGACTTTGTGAAATTCTTCTTTATTTGTGCCGGCATTCTACTGCCCCCGGCGGCCAAGTCACTCATACCGGCAGGAGGTGCTACGAATTCATCTGAAATGATCTTTCAAGTGCGGAAATAAAAAGAATAAAACAAATAATCAAATAAAAACATCAAAATATATCCAGCAGATGGCAGCAGATGGGTCCCTTCAACCGTTACCGTCAGTTTGTGATTGATCAAGGTGTTGTTCACGATAAATCGATTTCAAAGAGTGTCACAAAAGATTGAAAAGATGACCGAGATCATTTAAATTTACAAAGTAGAAGTCGAAGCGACGCAGCACTGACACGCATACACACGCACGCATGGCATACATGCACGCACACACTATTAAATACTACTACTACGACTAAGTAATGCAAATAATTTGTAATGTTTGCGAAATTGCTACATTGGTGCTCATTCAGAAATATGGTGACTTTTGACAGAAGCCGCATTGTTTGGAAAGGCAGCTCGAGCGTGGAATCTCATTAGCTTGTACATGTGTACCTAATGAAGTGTCCGGCGAGCCTGCTTTGAACAGAATGTGTTTTTTCGTGTGGGCTCAGGCGGGGAGGAGAGGTTATTTGATCGGATGGGGTCAGTGTGCTGGCTGATGTGGGCTGCTTCGGCAGCCTCAAGGAGCGCAAGAGAGAGAAAAAAAAAGCGGCGGTGGGTTGCCTGAGGAGGCGGCTTCAGAACTACCGGGGTGCTTTGGCCACAAACGCACGGGTGTTGGTGTTGCGTGTCGCGTGTGGATGTGCGCGTGCACGCGTACCAGATGAAGTCGGTGCAGTGGCTGCAGAAGGTGGGCTGCTTGAAGAAGCGGGCCGTGAACTGGTGATCTTTCACTTCTACGATCCTCTTGTGTTTGAGGGCGCCCTTCCTCTGGAACACGGGCACCCTGGGCGGAGGGGAGAGGGGCGAGGGCAGCGGGGAGCCCCCCGACGTCGGGGAGGCCAGCGTCAGCGGGCAAGGCGAAACGGGGGCCGACATCACGCCTAGGAGGGAGACGCTAGATTAGAAGAGGACCAGAATGGGAGGATGGATGACGGCCAGGACCCGATTGAGCCGCACGCAAGGGTGGGAAGACCTTGAAAGTGGGACAGGCGGACGGAGCCGCGGGAGACGGGGCGGAACGCAGAATGGGTCACGTTGAAAATAAAAGTCGGGAATGGTGGTGCCGGTGAGCAGCTAGTCATGAAGTGATCGCGGTCGCTGTTCGAAGTGCACGCCATCCAACTGAGAGCTGTTTGGAAGACTTACTAGTGGTGGAACAGAGTACAGTCTCATTACACTCGAGCGTCAAATTAGGATTCTAGAAGCGCTTGATGGCCATTTTGACCTCTCGCGAGCGTCCTCCACGTCTTCCCCATAACGTGCGTGTGCAAAAGGCCAATAGCCACATTCGAGAATCAGGACGTTCTGTCCATGTCACCCTCTTGGAGGTCTGGGGGAGTAATATTCTAATTTCTGGTCCAAAATTTGTCTTGTCACTGTTTTTGTTTTGTTATCAAAGGCAACGCTATGTCCATTTAACAGATGAGGGTTTGGCCTCCACTCTTGATATTTTTTGACATCGCTGGCAAAGTATCTCAATCAGGCTTTGGTTTTCTGAAACACTTTGTGTCACTTCTGAGCCTGGGCGGCTCCTTCGCCATCCAGCTCACGGCAATCCGTGAAGGTCGAATGGAGACACTTTTCTTGCTTGGTGACTACGTTTCACCTTCAAACCCAAACTTCGACTTTTGAAGCCCGGATCCTCCCCATTTATGTCTCCGGTGGGGCGTGTCCTCTGTCGGGGTGGCAACGCCCATCCATTTGGGACCTCCACACTTGAAAATTCGAAAAGGCTTTTTGGATAAAAGACGTTCCGGAACGTCCAGCTGCCTGGATCGAACCTTGGCAGAGTCAAGCAAACTGCAATGCAAGCTTCCGACAAATGGGGCCACTTTTTCGAAAAGAAACAAACTGTCCCCGGGTCTTTTTAAGCCGTCAAGTGACAGGTGTGGAGGGAATGAGAGGACATCATGAAGGAGGTAGAAGTTAATTCGCGCACGGCGGCAAATCGCTCTTCAGAGACTTTCAGTCGCGAAACAATTAACACAACTGTCCCACATTCCGCCTCGTCCAGTCCGCCAACGGGCTCGCCGGCTTTTTCTCAGCATCGCTGACATCTCCATCTCCCCAGCCCTCGCCCCGGTCGCCATGTCAACTGTACCTCCTCTGTTGCCATGTCAACAACACCCTCACCACCTGCTCCAACATTAAGAGCCCGGGGTCCTCTCCCCCGCCGGCTTTTGAAAACACAGTTTGTAACCTGAGCGTCGCTACTGTCACACCGACGGCAGCGACACCGATTGATTTGGAAAACATTCACCAGTTAGCCCGGAGCTCAAAGCCGCGTCTGGAAAGGTGATGGATTGAAGGCGCAAAAAGCGGAGAGGAGACTGCGGCGCAAAATGGGACGGAGCTATTCCACGTTTAATAATGCAAGGGCGCAAAACGTGTCGGGGGAAAGTACCTGAAAATGTCAGTCTTTCGGTAGAAGGCTTGAGCGGCGAGGGGGGCGGGGGGGGGGGGGTTTGTCTTCCTTTGCTCGGCCGTCACCTCGCAAGAGAGGCACCTGTAGAAAAAAGTAAGACGCGAAACAACAAGAAAGAAAGAAAGAAATGAGCAGAAGAGGAAAGGAAATGAGCCAGTGCAAATTAGAAGGAAAAAAAAAAAAAAGAAGGAGGAAGCTTTCTCGACCAAACAGCAGCAGGGGACCGCGATTCAAGCTTTCCTGGAACCAAAGATAGAAGTTGTAAATATCCGCGGAGCCGCAGGCAGGGTGAGGAGGAGGACGCCGAGATGGAGAGGTGCAACTCTCTTTCCAAGATTGCTCCTGTTTTTACCAAGAGTAGGATGAAAAGATAAGCGAGAGAAAGAGAACGGGAGCGAGCGAGAGGAGAGGGAGAGATGGAGGGGAATAGCAGGCGATTCATTTCCAAATCTGGGTTACTTCTCTCAAGAGGGGCCCAGGGAGGTGGAGCGCGGAAAGGGGGACGGGAGAAGGCGAAAGGCGGCCATTTTTGCCAGTGCGGACCGAGTGCCAGCTGCCTCTCGTGCCTTTTTGGAGTGGCAGACGAAGGAAGGGAAAGAAATAGCGGGGAAGCCATATTGGACGAAAGGAGCAGCGAGACGGCCTGCCGGAGAGCGGCAGGACTAACTGGGACGTGGCGAAATAAGACGGTTCCGAGCGGATGAGCGGGGGATCAACAGGCCCGTGAAATAAGCAACAATCTGCGGCAAAAAGACTGCAGTTCATTAAAAAAATAAAAATAAAAAAAAACACTCACGCAGTGAGTCTCTTCACAGAACAATTTTGGTCCAATTCGATTTTTGGTGCATTGGAAGCAAGCCTGGCAGGGAGGCCACTTCCACGACAATTAGTTCAGCCTGCAAACGTTACATTGAGAAGGCCCATGTGCAATTTTGGAGTCAAACGTCAAGTCCAGATACGACACGGGTTCTCTCGGTGCAGTTGAGATGCAAAATAGGCAGAAGCTTTCTCTTTTTTTTTTTTCCAACTCGCTTCAGTGCGGCAGGCAGTTCTATCCAAAGGCGAAAACGCTACACAGAGGGCATACGAGTGTTAAAAATTGCTTCAAGTCCCTGTAAAGTCAAAATAAATCTCTTCTTAATTTGACACAATTACAGAAGAACGTTGTTCATTAGAATCACCCCCCCCCCCACGCAAAGGCTATAAATGGAAGCTGCAAAATAAAGACAAATCAATTAATCAATCAATCAATCAATCAATCAATCAGAGAATGCTACTTCATCTGACATCTTACGTGTTGACCCCATCACAACCCGTTTCATTCTAGAATCCCATTTTGGGAAATCCATTTGATGGTATGTCAAGTATACGACATCATTTGCTACGGCGTGACGACTTCCGTTTGAGAACCGGATCGGCTCGCCGCGATGGAGAAAACGGTCCGGTTAGAGTCGGCACACCTAGTCACAATTAATTACACACATACTGGGTGTGCCTGTGGCTCAGCCTGGGAGGAGCAAGCTGTGGGCAGAGATGAGGGCGTCATTTTGGGGGGTGGGGGTGGGCTGGGGGTCGGGCCGCCGTGCGGGGACAGAAAGGTCTGGAGTGCGGTGGGATGGAGAGACTGCGAGATGAGCAAAAGGCCAAAGGTCTAATGAATGGAAATGTAGGTTATTAGTCTCCTGATGAGGACGCTGGCAGAGAATTAATTAACAATTCTAATTAGCAAGATTATTCGAGAGCAAAACGGTGTCAGCGGGCCAGATAAGAAAGCGCCGGCGTGCACCGACGTGTCTTTGCATGCGCTGTCGTCGGTACGCCGCTCGGTGCCAACGTGCGCCTGTCTGACGACGAGATGTGTCATTTCAGCAGCAATCGGGAGAAACCGGCAGCTGATTGGACTCGATCGGAGCTTTGCCGGATCTGGCCTGCGGGCCTTGAGTTTGACACCTGTTGTCTATATCATGTTGTTTTTTTTTCAAAATTGAGTTGTACTTTTCATTTGGGTGGAAAATCTGCAGCAAAATTGTATTTTTGTTTCCCTTTTGAAAGATATGAGCAAGATTTCCCGATGCCTTCTTCACAACATTCCAAAAGTACCCCGATCATTTGCGGTGCCAATTCAATGTGTTGTTCAAGACGTACACGGCAAAACTGAGCAGTCGATTGCAGGGCTAACTGCGCATGCGAGATGTCGGAAAAGTTCACAACCCGCACGACACGTTTGGGGACCAGAAGTGAAATCGGAATTCACACACACCTCAGAAGTCTCGCATGGCGAGTCGGCAATACGACGCCTCGGTGTTTTTCGGTGTCTTTTGGAGCCTTCTGTCATGCTTCCGTGGCGGGCCCGAAAGTAATAAAAACATCACGTGACTCCTTTTTAAGTTGGCCCTCTAAAAAGCACGTGCACTCCCCATTTTTACTACGCGATGTCATTTGTCGCTATTCAGAAAATCCTGTCTTGGTAACACTTCGTTCAGTATCCAGTCGACGCTTTCTGTGACGTCTCCGGTTGATTTTTCTCAAGTCAAATATGCGCCTTGTGGCTCAATTAACGAGCCGAGCAAAGATAACGAGCACGCTACCTTCGAAAGCTTCTTCGAGCACTCAATGACGCAGACAGGCGGCTCTCTCTGTCTCTCCAATTTTCACAACACAAATGAATGGAACAAAAAAATTCTCGTCTGATGGACCCCCGATGGGGGGACGTGATGCAATCAGCATTTCTCCAATGACACGCATCCATTATCATTTAACACAGGCTCCCCGCCATGCAACTTCTACCTGGGTGTCAAAATTGACTTGCCTGTCGGCGGGATGGAAGAGCAAGTGGCGCCCAAGGTCATCGCATCACTGCCCGTCAAAGCCCGTCGCCTCCGACGAGTCTCTTTGCCCGTCTTGCTTTTCTGTCGGGGGGGGGCTCCACCCGCATCTTCTTGAATGCGGATTTTTGGCGGAAGAGCAACAAATTTCGGTGACGCTCAGTGAAGACATTTGGCCGGCGACGAGGCGACCATCAAAGGCGAGCTGCTGACTAAGTGTGAACAAGCACACGCTGCACAAAGAGAAACCAAAAAAAAAACAAAACTGCTTGTTCAAAACGGATGCCAAAGTTTCTGTCTGAGCGCATCACAAAAGACATCGACATGCCTGTGTTTCATTACGCACTATTTTTATGGGAAGACGGTCGAAAAAGTGGAGTTTTGCATTCATTTTATTCTAGTTGTATTTTTCTTGGGGGGGGGGGCAAGAAAACTATCAGTTGACTCTTTTTCAGCGACTTTCAATATATAGATCACAGTCCTCCTATTTGCACATTTGCAACTCGTGAATTCAACTGTTTATTGATTTATTTATTTTTTGAAGAAATCATCCTCCATTTTTCACTGAAAAAAAACTTTTGGTGAATGGGAGGGGCTTGTGCTTTTAAATGACAGGAGGCCAAAGCACTGTCGAAGAGAAAAGCGGTGTTTTGGCGCCACGTTGTGGCGTCTTATGAGCAGCTGACAACCTGCCGCGCGCCGAAAAACTTTTGGTGGCAAAATCGTTTCTTTCCAAATTCCCACCAATGAAATAACGCCGCCAGTGACTCGAAATCGCCGCGCGGCTTTTGTCATTCACTCCAGGAACGGCGTCGTCTTTTTTTTTCCACGATCTTGACACACGGCGAATACTGCGACCCACGGAGACAAATACTCCGTTTACGTGACGTCGCGTCGGAGGTGCCCCAAACTTGTCCGACTTCCAACATTGCCACCCAAAAACGGATTTTGCGCATAACTTGACTAAAAGGTGTTTTTTTTCAGTGCCTCAAGTAAGAATCCAAGCATCGAATCCAAGTCACAGAAGAGGCATTCGCAGGCAGAAATTGACACCGCAGATTTACCCTTGATCAGATTTCGATCAATGAATTTTGGCAGATTATGTCGCCGCCGTGTTGAATGAGAATCGGGTCGTCGCCAAAAGCCACAAACAAAACGCGCGTGAGCTGAAAGGCTTCGACGCCCGGAATGCTAATCACACGTCAAATCCTCTGACGTGCATGACAGAAGCGCCCGCGGGGCGCCGCGGCGAGGCGGAGGAGGTCGTGGACAAAATGCGCTCCAGGGAACGCTCGGCGTCGGGCAGCCAGCGGCTTTCAGGCTAAGACAGCCCATCGGCTAATGGGGCGATGGGAGAACAAGCTGAAGACGGAGGGTGTTTGGATCGTCAGTCCTGCGTTGTCAGACCAATTGCCATTCCCCAGTGGCGTTCAGCAGCCACACACACACACACACACACACACACACACACACACACACACACACACACACATAAAATCGACTTCCTGTCAACTCGCAGCACATGACATCGAATTTCATTCATTTCCCAGAGAGCGGCGCTAACCAACCACTAATTGCAACCCTCACATTAACCCGAATCCCTTACATGGGAAGTTTTTCACCTACCAGGTCGTGCTGGGTCGGTCAGGAGGAGGGCGGGCTGGCCACTGCGTAAAGACGTTTCGACAGGGATTGCGATGACTCGGCATGACTTTTCACACGTGACGGCCAACATGGAGCGTGCGTAATCGATGCGGCCTTGGCCTGATGTTGAACAAAGTGTCTCCAGCAAATGTCAAATGTCCGTGGACTTTTCACATTCCGGCGCATTTTGGGACGATGGCGTGAGCGTGAACGTGCTTCGGATAGAACGAGCAAATGAAATTGAAGCAACTGTGAGACGCTGGAGCAAAGTGAACCGTCAAGGTTAATTCATGGACACACATTTGCATTGACTCCACTTTCGTGACCATTCCAAATCAACAAATAGTCATTCTTGCGCAGTTCTCCATTGCCCGCACAAGACATGTTTGTGCACAGTTTTTAATCCAATTTCCCTTTAATTGCTACTCTCTAGTAACACAAACACACAATTGCGTGGTGGCACATTTAGCTCATTTGCCTGTGTCCGTGTGGGGCTTGTGTGTAAAAACAGGAAACAAGAGATCGCATATGCAACAGGGGGAAAAAAAAAAAAAACAAGATGAAAGGATGGGTGTCCCCCCCCACCCCCCCGACCGCAAAGCTCAAACCGATGAGGTGTAGAACCCGGCGGCACCGCACGCATGATGAAAGCAAGAACAGCCCTGTTTTTTTTCCCCCTGATGCATTATACGCGTGTGCATGACTGCCGAATCACTTTCGATCCCCTCAAGACGTCCATTTTGTTCACGTTCAGCCGATCTAAACTGTGACTTGACTGCCACTTTGGTAAATACTTTTTGATGTGATTTTTTTTTTTTAAAGTAAATGCCTTTTGGAATTTCAATTTCTTCAAAGAAAAAAAAATAGCTCTAGGGCTAAAATAAACGATGAGAAGAGGTACAGGCAGTGGCGTGCAAAGAGGGGGGGTGGAGGGTGAATAAGGGGGCCCATCCGCCCATCAACGATTTTTGATGGTATCAAACCCTTGGAAGGCCCAACAGGTGGCGAATGCATTTGGACCGCGAATGGGAACATGCAAGCATAAAGGTTTTTACGACAC